GGCCGCCGCGGCTGCCTCAGCGCTGGGCGCTGCCGCGTGAGGGCCAGCGGTCGCGGCAGCCGATGACGAGCCGACAGGCTGGCTGCCGGCGCCAAGCTGCTGGCCCTGCTCGTCGGCGGTCTTTCGCTTCTTGACCATCCTGTCGGTGGCGCCTTTCTTCAGCTGCTCCACGCGCTTCTTCCACTCGGAAACCTTCGAGCTGCGCTCATCTAAAGTGGATTTCGCACGGCGAAGCCCCTGCTCGAGTGTCTTCAGCTCCGTGCGCTCCGCCTCTTCGCAGTCGTACTGATCAAGATCGCTCAGAAACTCCTCATCCCATTGTAGATTGAACATGGCCCCGCCGTTGCAATCCTTGGAGGGTGATGCTGAGAAGTCCGCTGGAATGACACCGTTCTCCTTGGCGAGAGTGACGATTGCGAGCTGCTGTGTGGCTTCGGCCTTCGCCAAGACCAATGCTGCTGCAGATGCCTTGGGTCTCTAGGTGCAGGCCCTCTCTGCTCAGGGGCCCTGCGCCGCCCAGGGGGCCGCACTTTCAACGCCGCACCTTCGGCGCTCTGACGTCTGTTGTGTATTGCCATTCTGGCGAGTCGGTGGGGGTCGAGCCCACTGCGGACTATCGACCAGCAGCGCGCTCATTAGTTTACACAGACCCCGCCTCACTGTATGCCGCCAGCGTCGTTGCCTGCTCTACTTTTTCTCCGGGCCGCACTGCTCACTTACTTCATCATGCTTGACCATATTTATTGAGGGCGGCTTTCTGGGAGAGAATCTCATTCGGGGGAGGGCAGGTCTAAGCTGCGTTGATTTCCAGTGTTGCGATGCCCAATGGGATACACCACGGCGCTAGTTTGCTGTGCGCGTGTATTTCGATTCCTTTTTTTGTTTGTTTGTTTTATATTACCTTTCCGCCCCTACTTGTTCGTGGCGGCTCATTGGTCATGGCGCCAACATCGCAGAGCGGATTTCTTTCGGAAAACGATAAGGTGGGCCTGGGGTGTCCTGGAGAATTTTGTTCCGGATTTCGATGTAAATTTCGTGAGTTTTTTTTTGGGGGGGTTGCCAGGAATGAAGACCAAAAAGAATCCAAGCGAAATTCAGTTCGTTTTTCGCTCGCTGCTTCGGGCAAACATCCACGCAGGAGTCCACGCAGACATCCGCTGCAGCACGTCTGCAAGGCCGGTGCATTGACATTGGAGAGGGCATTATTGATGATTTTTCCCCCGGCGCACCTAATGTCTGGCCAGCGTGTACTCTGCCTCTTTCACCTTTCTTGGCCCGCTGCGCCTGCCCTGGGCCTATGCCGGCAGCTCCCCGCATCTTTCCTCGATCCACCAGGCGCTACCTCGCACTGGCTCAAGTTCGCGCAGCTTGCAGTGGATGAGGGAGGAGGAGGAAGGAGGAAAAGGAACCTCTGGGGGCTTCAAAAACGGAGGAGGGAGGAGGAGGGAAGAAGAAAAAATAGCCTCTGGGGGCCTCCAGAGGGCCCCCGTGGCCTTCGGAGGCCGTCTTGTGGGCCTCTGGGCAGTCGTGTGGCCTTCCCTTCTTTATGCGCCCTCGGGCCGTCTTGGGAGGTCCGTGGGGCCGTCCTGGGGCTTCTGGGGCCGTCTTGGGGGCCTCCTGGGCCGTGTTGGAGCCTTCTTGGCCCGTTTCGGGGCGCCCGTCGGGGCTCATGGGGCAGTCTTGGGGCTATCATGGAGGCCTCTGGGGCCGTCTCCGAAACCCCGAAAGGTGAGAACGCGCATATGGTTGAAGCACCGAATGGAAGTCGACGATCTTGGGTTCCTGGAGGTCATCTTGGGGCGTCTTGGGGGCCTCTTGGACCGTTTGGAGACCAGTTTGGGCTGCTTGGGAGTCATCCTGGGGCGTCTTTGTGGTATCTTGGGCCTTCTTGGGGCCATCTTGGCCGTCTTGGAGACGTCTTGGGACTTTTGCTGGAGTTCATCTTGGGCCAACTTGGGCGTCTTAAAGGCCGTCTTTAGACCAACGTGGGCAACAATGCCGATGGAGTGCATTTACAGTGAGCGGCTTGAGTCAGGAACACTATTTTTCAAAAGGGGCTCGGTCGTTCCTTAGAGTTGCATGCGTTATCTATCGTTCCTTATGCGTTATTTATTATCCCGTACATCGACAAACTGTTGCACCACTCTTGCCGAGCATTGGCACCTATACTGCATTGCTTTTCCCCCCCTCTTCCCCCCGATTTTAATATTGAGTGCATGGCGAAGAGCCCTTGGGCCGCCCGGGGGCTACCGACAAAATGCTGCACCACCGAGCTGTTTCGACCAGCCCAGACCGAGCCCACTATTAAAATCGGGGGGAGGGGGGTTGGAAAACAAACGCTTGATAGAACAGCGATGCGACTTATTGTCCGCCCCAGGTGGTGCAACATTTTGTCAATGTACCGCTTGTCGTTCCTCATGCGTTATTCCTTGGAAATAGGGGCTTCGTTCCTTATTTTTCGCTCCTTAGGTCAGGCCGATGACTGTAGTGTTTCCGGCAT